GAAAAGGGAAAAAAAAAAAAAAAAAATAGGTGTACAAGGGCAATTAGGTATTTTTTTAAGTCAAAATGGCTATATTTCATTTTTTTAAAAAAGGTGGCTAGATTTCATTTTTTTCTTTTGATTAAGTGCTATAAAGGGGTATTACCACTTTCAATTTATTTGAAATTCTTAAAACCATTTTGAATTTCGTGCAAAATGAAACCAAAAATTTTGAAATTCATTATAATTTTGTAATTTTCAAGAGGTTTGTTAATTTTAAAGTGGCACAAAATCCTTCATTTAAGGTTATTCGTCCAAGGATAGAAGCATGTGATTAGAATTTTTTTTTTTCAATTGAACAAAATCCTTTATATTAGGAAGAGATTTTGAATTAAGCCCAATTTTATGCCAACTAAAATGAGAAGAGATTTTGAATTTTAAATTTTCAATTCAAGAAGGTAATTTTTTCGGCAATCTGATTGTTTGGAATAAAAAAACACAATCGAATTTTTTAAATAAAAAATGAGAAAGGATTTAAATTTCAAATTATATTCAATGATCGAAATTTCTAGAACTTAATGGAACCAAATCCACCAATCTAGGCTGCAATGTGATTCACGATTTTCTGCTATCAAAAAAATTTCTTTTTGAAAATTAAATCAACCAAAACTTTAGGAATTGGTATTTTTTAAAAATAAAGAATTCATTAATTTAATGGTGTTAGCCGATTTGATGTTCAAAAGGTTTCAAATTGTTTGCAAATACTAAAGTTATTTTTTATTATTAAACCAGTCGTAATTTCTTTTTATAAAAAAAAAATATGCAATTTGGTAATTTTATTTATGTAAAAAAAAAATCTTTAATTTGTGAAAATGAAAATGTTACAACCCGTTCTTGCGTAAATAAAATATTGATCATTTTATAATTAGATTAATTTTGTGTTATTTTTATATATAAAAAAATATAAAAAGAATAGAATAAAAATATTGTACATTTGATTATAAAATGAACTGTAATTTATTTTATTTAAAAATAAAGGCATCCGATTAAAACAATTGTAATAGCCTAGTTGATGTTAAAAGAATTTCTGATTTTTTTGTAAATACTAACTTAAGTTTGTATTATTAAGTTAGGCGTAATTTATTTTTTCAATAAAATAAAATTTGTAACGTGGTACACAATTATATGTTAAAGATTTTTTTTAAAAAAAAAATTGTGAAAATAAAAAAGGAACAACCTAATCTTGAGCAAAAATAAGTAACAAACTTCACTTAACAAACTCCACATTTAAATGCAACATTAATGATGTACATTTGTAAATAAAAAATAAAATAAAAACTTGCTATTAATAGCATGCAATTAATGCTCAACCATATTTGACTTGCCATTTTTAAAAAATGATAGTAATTCTTTTTATATAGATATAGATATATATATATATTTATTTTTTACCTTCGCAATACGAAAGCAAATTTATTAGAAGCGTCA